GTTGTTTTCTCCTCCAGATTGTTCATCCAGCCTGTCCTATCTAGACAGGTGAGGGGTTTCTATATATGTTGATCCTTGTGATTGATTCCCCCTTTCTCCACCCCACCCCCTTCTCCTTATCCTCCTGATATCTATTCTCATTTTTGGCCCTGAGGGGTCTATCTACCCTGGATTCCCTATGTTGCAGGCTCTTATCTGTGGCAGTGTGCATGTTCTGGTCTAATCTGATTTGTAAGGTAAAATTGAGTTCATGATAATGGGAGAAGGAAACACTAAAGAACTAGAGGAAAGTTGTGTGTTTCATCGGTGCTGTACTGCACCCTGATTGGCTCATCTCTTCCTTGTGACCCTTCTGTGAGGATGTCCAATTGTCTACAGATGGGCTTTGGGTTTCCACTCTATGATCCCCACCCTTCTTCACATTGGGTATGATTTCGCTCTGTGTCTTAGATGCCTGATACCTGATGTCATGGACACCTCATGATGACACAGGCTGGTGTGCTTCTTCCATGTGGGCTTTGTTGCTTCTGAGAAGAGAAAGTCTTGTAGCCTTCAAAAAGCTCACAGGACACTATATATGTGAAATAGGCAGTGACACACATATACATATGACCTTGATATTGCTCATACTATAGAAATCCATTTAGAAAGTTGATGGGAGAGAAAAATTGGAGTGAGTGTCATGGAAGAGGTGCACTGTGAATAGTTGGACAAACAGTGAGATTTCTAAAAGCATGATTTAATGTGAACATTTAAAGTTTATATTTTTAATAAATGTTAAATTATGGAAATAGCTGAAAAGACAGAATTAAAAGTAAGCCCTGCCTTTCACATTTTGGTTATATTAATTCAGATGCTTTTCTGTTCCTGTATATACTGTGTGAATACATTCATAGGTGTATATATATGATGAAAAAAAACTAAATATAAAAAGTGGATAATACTAAATTCTTTCAAGAAAATTTGTTTTCAAATTTTTGCAATTACAAGATCATAAATTGGGTGATTTATTTCATCAATGAAAATGTTGGGTGATTCTTGGGTTTCCTAAGGTTTTTCTGTTTGAATGCAATAGATAGTCATTTGGTAGAAGCAGTATTTTGACTGTAATGATTTAATGTATCTCTCTCTCTGAAGGTGCTGGGTCTTCAGCTGTAAAGAGGCCATTTGAGGATGGATTGGGGGATGATAAAGACCCCAATAAGAAGATGAAACGTAACTTAAGGAAAAGTGTGTAAATCTTTACTTTTAGTTTTCTTTTCAGTTATAACAGACGTGAACTAGAAAGGATTTATTGTCTCAAGTAGAAAAATAAAATTTTAAAAAGTGACAAATAAGATATTTGAATTGCACTTAAGAATAGAGCTTAACCAAGAAGTTGATGATTGTGATGCTCTTCTGTTTTTGTTTAATTGCTTAAGCTATATTAATATTGCAAATTAAAATTACATATGAAGTGATGTAAATTTTTTTGTGCCTTTTGAAATTCTTGTTTTTTTCAAAACCTGGTGAATTTATGCTGATTACTAGTCTCTTCAGATGTGCAAATTAGGGCAAAACTCATTTTCTAGTTCATATCTGACCCCATTCCTCTTTCTTTTAACAGTTCTGGACAGTAAAGCAATAGACCTTATGAATGCACTAATGAGGCTAAATCAGATCAGGCCTGGGCTTCAGTATAAGCTCTTATCTCAGTCTGGCCCTGTTCATGCTCCTGTTTTCACAATGTCTGTAGATGTCGATGGCACAACATATGAAGCCTCAGGACCATCCAAGAAAACAGCAAAACTTCACGTAGCAGTGAAGGTACGGTGTTTATCTTACTGAGTAATGCACTTTCACTTTATATTGCAAATAAGGCACTTCTTTTACTGCAGAAAATGAACACAAAATTTTAACATTTTAATAACAAATAACAGGCTTTTGTTACCTCACAATAAAAAAAATTGGTTGTTTTCTTAATTGTTGCTGTAAATAATATGTTGATTATACAGCACTTTGGAAGTATAGTAGAAAATAAAGAAATAATAACTATCTCAAATATATCTGAGGCAAATACCCTTAATATTTATATGTTGGTTTATTGACTTCTAATATTTTTCTGTTTTGTTTGTTTACTTCTTAATGTTGGATTCATTATGTGTGTGTAAACTTTTAAAACATCCTCTTTATTTTTAACATCATCGGTGTTCTTCCAAGTTATTAAAATCTTCATTAATTTGAATTGGCTATATAACATGATGTGGATGTATTGTTAATATGTCTTAACTATTTCTTTATCATTGAATTTTTTTTTTACAGTACACAAGTGTGATAGATGTCTTTGTGAATACTGCATTTTCTATATTTCAAAATATTTCCATAGGAGAAAACATTCAGGATTGGACCAATCAATCTTGCCTATTGACTTAAAGAACATTACCAAATAGAGCTCCGAATAAGTACTTATAATAATTTTCAGACTAATGCCAAAATGTCTAGGGTCATACAGGCTGAGGATCAGTGTTTACTTCTATAAGTATGGTTTTCTGAACATTCCCTTTTGTAAGTATTAACTTAGTTTTTACAAGCACTGTCCTACATGCTGGGATTTGTTTATACAGTAGTGAACAAAACAATGTCCCTACCCTTCTGGAGCTTACATTCTAGCACAGATAGGGTGGGAATACAGACAGTAAATAAGCAAATGTGAGTATATTACCTGTAATAAGGATAATATTTTGAACATGTTATCAGGAGAGACCAGTCCTTAGAAAAGGATATCATGGTTGGTAAAGCAGAGGGGCAGCAAAAATGAGGAAGACCCTCAAGAAGAAGATGGATTGACACAGTGGCTGCAAAGTGTGCTCAAACATAACAATTGTGAGGCTGGCACAGAACAGAACTGGGTAGAATTTTGTTCTGTTGTACTTAGGGTTGCTATGAGTGGCATCAACTCGATGGCTTCAAACAACAACAATAATATGGACAACAGGCTATTAAAAATAAGCTATAAAATAGTAAATGATATTTATTTTCTGACTTATGCACAAAAGAGGTCCCTAAAATATGATGAGAAGGTATGAGTTAATGGGCAGAAAAATAATACCAAGAATGAAGGAGAAAGTGAATTCAGAAATTAGGCTAAAGTTTATATCTTAGCTATAATGTGTGTTCAGATTGGCTCACAAATTTATATCTAAGTTCTCTAGCAAATGACACAAAACGTTTGCGAAATAATACAATTTACTATCATAAGCTTAAGACAATTGATGATGAAAACCAGAATTGTTTTGGTATAAAGATCGGATGAACTTTTCTTATTGGATGGTGTGCTGTTTTCATTAATGTTCTCTATTAAGCCTTTTTGGGTTGTAATAACTATTGCAGTGGCTACACAGAAGTCAGACGAAATTCATGATTAAAAGGCTTATCAAGAAAGTTACCAAGTTGTAGTGCCATTGATTAATGCTTGGCATTGGGTTATTTATCAGGACATGTTAAAAGTTCTTCCAGGTCTGTTAATAAGTGCCCAGAGGGCATAACACTGTTGTAATCTTAGTTTGAAGGCATTCAGCTCAATTTCTAAACAAACCTTATGTCCCCAGTTAAGTGCCCATAGGCACCCCACTCCATAGGCCATCCTCCTGCACAAAAGCACTCAGGTTTACTGGCTCTGTGGATTGTAAAATCTCTATCACTCTGTTCCATGCTCTAGCTCCTGGTTCTGCTGCTGCTTCTTTGATATTATAGTTGTCTTCTGGATACAGGAGGTTCATTGCACAGGGATCTCATGCTCCATTCCCTCCTACTGCTTCCCAAGAGGACACATTTTATACATGGAAGGATAGCACTCCAGGGCATCGTGTTCATGATTACTCCCAGATGAATTCTATCAATATCCTACCCTCCTATCAGACTCACCTAGGGAAAAGATCATTTGGCAAGAGTCGAGACTTTGGCTAGAAGCAGTACATTAAATAGTTCACTTGCCCCTGCAGGCCATCCTCTGGCTCTTCTAGCCTTTGCCCCTTTCATACGAAAAGATTAACTGCCTGACCCCCATTTTGTTCCCCACACACCTATGAGTTTTTAAGCCAAGCTGTTCATGCCTTTATCTTCTTCCATTTTCAATACCCAAATTCTCAATTGCTTGTCCCTAACAACTCACTGCTTCTTGCTGTGATGGGTCTTTATTTCTGGTTGAACCTTGGACCATCTATATCAGGGGTCCTCAAACTTTTTAAATGGACCCAGTTCACTGTCCCTCAGACCCAAACTATAGTTTAACAAAAAACTATGAACAAATTCCTATGCACACTGCACACGTCTTATTTTGAAGT